ATTCTCACTGATCAATTATAGAGGCATTTGCGTAACACATTGGCATCAGAGGGAAGACGTTGATATGGATAGCGGTCGTTGTATTAATGTTCGATCAATGAGTGCAGGAGTGTATCTCCTCTCGTTCTTCTAACGTGCTCCGCAGTAGGCCTAGGATACATCGCATAGCATGCGAGTACTGAGAGGGATTAAACTTTGAGGCTTTAGCCATTGTGGCTCTAAGTCTTCGAGTGCAATTGATTCCTTCCTCCCCAACCCGTGTCTGGCACATTTGATGAACTTGCTCGTCAGTTCACTACGAACACAATCATCCATGCTCAGTACCAATGCGTCCTACTACGGACCGATAAGAATAGGATAGCTAATCCTTCAGCAAATAGTTCATCTGAGATGTTCACCGAGATGGTCATAACCTATTCATTTACAGCATGATGGGCGACAGCATGCCCAACAGAAAATAAACAATAATGACACGTTACCGCACCGTGATGGAATCAGCCTCCTTTCTACTAGGCATACATCATACCACTCTCGCGCTTCTTGTTAGCTATGGATTCCTGGGCTACTATCTTAGTCCATCCAGGCTCATAAGCAGCTTCTATCTCGGCCTTCATCTTAGCAATGGCCTTAGCTGGATCCAGACCTATAGTTAGATGAACTCAGAAAGTTAGTCGAGCTTCAATCACCTTTAGGGCAGCATGAAGTGCAGTTCATGATGCCGTGACAACGATAAAGTCTCATGGAGTCGTTGATCCAAGCCATGCGCTCCGTTGTGAATTCATCTCTAGAGTCCGCGATCCATCTAAGAGCGTACGATCGGAAACTATTGACTACAAGTCCCTCACCTGTATGCCTGCAAGAGCACCGCCGGGCCGAGATAATATTCAGGATTCCACCAGTAAGATGGACACGAAGTCATGCAACAAGCACAGAGAATACACTCGTACCTGAGCCTGTAGGATAACCTCTCAGGCCACCTGCTGAGACCCTACGTACATGCCATCAAGCTTTTCTCTATCTTCAATGCTTTGGTAGTACTCCTTCTCACCAGGCTGTTTTGCACGTCTACGTTTGAGCCAGGGTTCAATACTCTTATATTGATTATAAAAATTGCTCAAGTCGGGAACTAAGTCCTTCAGGACGTACCTGGAAACACCTTTAAACCATACGTGACGTACACCATCCTATCACGTGTGAGGGAGCGGCTGAATATCAATAGGAGCTGCGCCGGGCTCGATGTACTGGAGGCACGCGAGGCCATTCTTGCCATTAATGTTCATAGCGCAAGATCCGCAAATGCCCTCGCGACAAGAGCGCCTGAATGAGACCAGTTGGCGAGATAACGCCACTGGGGAAACTTGCCGGAATGCTAGAGTGGAGTCCTGAGTATCCTTTATTTTAATGAGGGCATCCAAAATCATCGGGCCACATTGTGCCAAGTCAATGTTAAACTCCTGAAACACACTGGTAGATGTTGCCAATGAATGCTATTCCCATACCTGCATGTGTGGCTTGTCTTGCTTCAGAGGGTCGTAGCGGTAGACTCTGAAGGTCTGCATCCTAGTGGCAGACGAGGTGGCCAAGCATCGGCGAGAGGCGTCGGAACAGAGGTGAGAGAGCATTGTTACAGTTAACGAGATGTCCTTATCCTGATAGCAACTTGGATCCTCAATGGAACGACACTTAGTCCAGTCAGGATCTGATGCTGAGATGATGATGCGGAAGGATTATTGATGGAGAGTCAGCGTAGTTGTGTTGAGGAATAATCACCGACTTTCACCGATGATAGCAGAGAAAAGAGTTCGAGTATTGAGGGAATCGCGATGAGCTCAATGGCGGGTCAAGAAAATCATGCATGATATGGCGGCATGGATAGTATTTATAGTGGACGGAGGAGAGCCCCAAGTTCGTACCTATGGTGCGTATATCGTACGTGCTCGAGTTTTCATTATATGTATGAAGCAGGCCTATGCCATGATATTTACTTTTTACCGATTGGTATCAATGAACTACCCAATGATAGGGCAACTCCACCAAGGGAGAGTCTCCCTCCGAGACTGGGGTCACCCGGTTGGTGAAACTTTTCACGGTAGTCTACTCCTACCCTTAAGAAACTCGAGGATTCGAGTACCGAGGCGCTCGAGCATCGGGTTTAACTGCATCGGGTGATCCAGCCACTTTTGTACCAATCCATTTTTGAACCAATCCAAGTAGCGCCCGCCCCCCTTTAAAAAGCTTCCCTTCGGGAAGCGCGGGTATTGTCAAATTACGGTGCTGATGGGTCTGGGCGAGCGCTAAGTTAAAGGTGCTCGCGGACGCCCAGTAATCGTGAAGCAACAACCGCATCTTGCTTTGATCAAATGGTTTCACGCGTTAGATCGGACTCACTATGCTTCATCCTAATGGGCCTACTGAATAATGCCTCCTTTGTTGCTGTCATCAGCGCTTCGAAAAGCCTCGCACAGGAATACAATGCGATGGAGAATTTCGGTGTAAGTACTTCGCGTCGGCGTTTCTGACTGCTTTCGTGGCCATTCTAATCCATTTTGCTAATACCTTGACCGTCTGCTGTGCTTCAGATCATTGGTAGTGCTTCAGTGGCACTAGGAGTCTTCGCTACTCCTATAAGTGCCATGGTTTCCGAACTAGACGTACCCTTTTTCTATCGCTTCTGGGTTACCACTATCATACGGATCATCGGCCTTGTCATGATCGCTTTCGCTCCTACTTTCGAGTTCTGTGTTGTTGGAGTGTTACTCGCTGGCTTGACCCAGATCTTGGGGGAGAACTTCACGCTTTGTTATATAAGAAAGTTCGACCCTACTTTCATCGGCGATTGGTCCTGTGGTACGGGGTGGGCCGGTGTCCTCGGTGCCTTCTTCTACCTAACCCTAAGGGCCCCTCCTATTGGCTGGTCTAACCAGA